CGTCATTGGAAAGATCAATGGTCAAAATCAAGCAGAAAGTCTGGTGCGACCTCCCTGATTGACTTCATTTTGGGTTGGTATTTTCATAGATCCTTACAGTACAGGAGGCCATTTGACCACCACACCTGTGCTGGTTCTTCAACAGCTATCCACTTAATTACACTCCCCTGTTCTTACTCTACAAACCCTCAGTTTCTCTTTTGAAGTATATGCATCAAATTTTCTTTTGAAAATGATTATTGAACCTATTTTCACTGCCTTTTCAGGCAATATGTGATGTATTCTGTATTCAAGTGTATTCTTTATGGTGCTTCACATCTCATGCGAAATGGCCATTATTGCAGAGGCTACATCTCATTTTAACACCTTTTTGGGGCATTCAGATAGTAATCCCTCCAGCATGATCAACTAAGCAAACATCTGTGAAATGTAACCCTCTCTGACTTTGACTAACAACTCCTTTGTGAGTGGATGATTGTAGGGTGTACTTTGATTTAGGATGTAGACCAGCTTGGCCTTCAAATCATGTGTCTGGCACAAGTGGTCCAGAATACAATATAACCAAGTTTATGGAGAACTAATGTCGTCCTAAACTGGTAAAGAAAGGTTATCGGAGAGCAATGTTTAAAATTCCGGAAGGGTTTGGTAGGATAGATATAGAGAAAAGGGTTTATACTTTTATAGAGGAGACCCGATTATAAGATGGACCAGGTATAAGGTTAGGTGAATTGACCATGCTAAATTGTCTGTAATGGCTAGGAGTATGCAGGCTAGGTGGATTAGCCATGGTAAATAGAGTTATGGAGTTAGGGTAGGGGGCTAGATATGGGTGGGATGCTCTCTTCAGTGGGTTGTTGCAGTCTTGATGGGTCAAATGGCTTCTTTCTGCATTTTAGGGATTCTGCAAGACAAACTTATTAGTGATCATCTTGTAGGTCCACTAGGGAAGTCAGGCAAAACATCTTCACTGAATAATTTGTATGTGGAGTGATGTATGTTGTTGATATAACAGTGTGGAGCTGGAGGAATACAGCAAGCCAGGCAGCATCAGAGCAGGACAGTTGATGTTTTGGGTTGGGACCCTCCTTCAGAAATGGGGGAGGGGAGCTCCAGTAAATAGGAGGCGGCGTCGGGCTGGGGAAGGTAGGTGGGATGGTGATACGTGAGTGCAGGTAGGGAGTGGTGGGGATTGATCAGTGAGGTGGGAGGAGCGGATAGTTGGGAGAGAAGATGGACAGGTTGTGTCAGGTCAAGGAGGGTTGGTCATGAGATGAGGCTGGAGTGGGGAGATTTTGAAACTGATATAATCCACATTTAGGCCATTGGGCTGTAGGCTCCCAAGGCGGAATATGAGGTGCCACTCCTCCCAGTTTCTGGGTGGCATCATTGTGACGTTGGTTGTTTGCTAATTTAGTTTAATTCAGTCTGTTGGCTTCGGTTCCTTTCTGTCTGTGTCCCATCATTTCCACAACTCTGTTTTAAGTTTTATTGGAACTTCCAACACTGCTTCCAGTTAAGGAGACAGAATGAGGGGTTTCCAAGTGTGCTGCGGTCTTGTGGTTCTATGGAAATTGTGGACAAAGGTGACTAATCAGAAACTGTTTGTGGTTCTTGGACTCGCTTCCAATTATATTCTTCTCTTTCCAAATGTTAAACCTGCCTTTATTGCCAAAATTGTTGGAATGAAAAAAAAATCTGTTAATACATTGGGCAACTGTCTGCGTGGAGTTTGCACATTCTCCTCATGTCTGTGTGGGTTTCCTCTGGGTGCTCCGGTTTCCTCCCACAGTCCAAAGATGTGCAAGTTAGGTGGTTTGGCCATGTGAAATTGCCCATATAGTGTTCAGGGATGTGTAGATTAGTTGGGTCATAGGGGGATGGGTCTAAGTGGGCTGCTCTGAGGGTCGGCGTAGACTTGTTGGGCCAAAGGGCCTGTTTCCACACTGTAGGGATTCTATGAAAATCTACTGTTGACAGTGATGCTGTCAATTTCCACTATCGAGACAACCGGAAACCTGTGGAAGAAATGGGCTCAATGCATTACTGTGAAAGCTGAAAACTTAAATTATGTCATATGTTGCAATCTTCACAAATATTTAATGTGCTTCAAATCCAATTTCTCAAACTCGGTTTATCCATTTTAGACAAGATAGCAAAAGATTAAAACTATTTATCATTTTCTTCAAATCTCTGGATATGTTGAAGTGAAGGAAAACATGTACTATTACCTAATTGTTTACCCATTGCGAGTACTCCTAGTTTAGCTCTGTAGTTGAGTGGATCGGTACCTCAACTGGACCTGAAGGCAATGCTACTTGAAAGGCTGCTATCCAAAACCATAAACTTTTTAACTAAAACTCTTGGGACAAGTAACAATTATTTGATTGGACAGTGCTGAGTGTGGGTTTGAGGAAACTAATAGAAACGTATTTCCTTTTGAAAATGTACAACATAAACATGAAATGGGAGAAGGATCCCACTGAACTTTGGCAATATATTTAATAGCTCCATTTTATTTTAAGAAACCCATCATTTAACGTCAACAGCTCAATTTGAAATTCCTTCCTGGGACTTAAGTTAGGAAAACAATTTTTAAGATGCATTAAGACCTGAAGTGTAAATTGTTATTTAATTATATTTATTTAAGACTGATAATTAGTCACAAGTACATTGCATGACAGTTCTTTTATTCCTACAAATGCTTTTGTTTAGATTATAAATTATGATTCATTTCAGGACTGATGAACAAATTGGTTATAATGTGACCTCAATTTAATAACAGAATCGTCCTTGTTAGCTGTTGGTCATGAATTACTTAGAGGTCACAGAGATAATAGAATTATAACTAGGTCTCCAGCACTAACAAATGGGCCTATTACCATTAGACTGTTACCACAAAACAATCACTGTTATTAAGGACATATTTTAGATTTGTTTACTTCATTAGCATTCAAATGAGGCTGCAAAGTTGTACACAGCATTACATTTACTGTCCTTTTCAACCATTTCTTTATACACTGTCTCTGGCAGGCATGCTAATTAAACTAGGCAAGTATGTGTCTGTTGGAGGCAGTGGTTGCTGGGGTGATTTTTTTTTGTTTGGACAGGTGAGGCACAGTCCATGTAAGACAGGGGAAAGTTGTATCCTTTGAATAAGACATTTGGTGGTTGATAAAGAACTTAAAAGAACAGGAGGAAGGGGCTGTGCAATATTTTCTTCCTCCATCATCGCAAAGGGACTTTGTTGATCTTGGGACTTCATGGGAAACAGTCAGTCATACAGCATGGAAACAGACCCTTTGGTCCAACCCATCCATGCTGACCTTAATCCCAAACTGAACTAGTCCCACCTGCCTGTGCTTGGAGCATTTCCTTCCAAACATTTTTTATTCATGTACTTATCCAAATGTCTTTTTAAATGTTGTAACTGTACCTGCATCCACCACTTCCTTTGGACATTCTATTCACATGTGAACCACACTGTGGGGGTGGGGGGTGGAGAAATGCCCCTCATGCCTTTTCAAAATATGTCCCCTAGTCTTGAATTCCCCTACCTTAGGGAAAAGACCCTGGTCATTTCCCTTTATCTATGCCCCTCCTGATTTTATAAACTTCTAAGGTCACTCTTCAAACTCCCATGCTTCAGTTGGAAAAAATAAGTCCCAGCCTCTCCTTATAACTCCATTCCCAGCACCATCTTGGTAAATCTCTTCAGAACCCTCTCCAGCTTAATATATCCTTCTTATAACGAGTTGACCAGAACTGAGGTGTTATTCAATAACTTTGAGTAGCTTTGCCATGTTGAAGAGATGATCAGTTGTCATATTGATGTAAGAGGCCATAATAATAACTTCTTACTGATACCCCACACCAGCCACAGTCTCTAGGTACTTGATGAAAATTTATTTGCAGCTCGTCAAGTCCAGGTTCCTATTGCATGCTGGAAATAGAGTTTCTATTATCTGAATGACCCAAAACTAGTTTTGTAAGGATGAAATAGTTATTAAATTAAGGGCACACTACAGTGAAATTGACTATTTCTTCTCCTAGTTCTACTGGGACTGAGGCTGTCTTTCAACTTTAAGTTCCTGAATTCATTTATAGAAAGAAACTGGGATTGTTCTCCGATCAGGAGAGGATTGGGTTGTGGGATATCAAAACCTTTTGTAATTTCTTAAGAGATCAGGAGAAAGGGTTTCTGCTGACAGGAGAGATGGTAACCAGATGACACAGTTTAAGTTCATTTTACCAAAGGTGAAATTGGGAGAACTTTTCTTCTTTTGAATACTATTAAAAATCCACTGAGGATGTTGGATGGAGATTTGGCGGTAGTGTTTGAAATTATATTGGATAAATATGGATGAAAAATCCCTGGAAAATAGGGTAGGCCATGGAAGTAACCAGAGCACAGAGGGCTGATAGACCCATCTGGCTAAATGGCCTTGTGTATTGTTCTATTCCAAGGACTAGTGTAGAATTATGAGAGAGAATATAAAACATGTACTAGACTATAATGCAGTTTGTCTATCATCACATTAACCTAGCAAATGAAAATTTTATTAAATGACAAAGGACAGGCTTAGCTGTCTACAGGCCAACTCTTTACTGCCATTCACTTTAAACTGCAAGTGAAACATGCAATGAGAAAAAAAACCTGCAATTTAACAACTGATTCAATAACTGGCAAAGTATCTAAAGTTTAAAACCCTGTTTTTCATTGGATGACTGTCCAGTCCCACTCCAGTTCTGAGGAAGGGTCACTGGACCTGAAACATTAACTCTACTTTTTCTTCACAGATGCTGCCAGATCTGCTGAGATTTCCTGGTAATTTTTGATTTGGTCCCAGTCCATGTGCCATGTATGGATTTTTACTATTTTAACCAAAATGGAGGGAGGAAATACTGAGGATAAAAGTGCAGTCATGTGTAAAAATGTAAAATTCTTGTTTACAATCTAATCATTTCACAGTTTTGATACTTGATTTTTGAGATAAGTTGCAGTTTATTGGAATGAAAATGAAAACAAGCAATAATAGTTAATTTCAAATATAAGTAAGTTGCTAACTGATGACCGTCAAATCATTAATTTGATTCTTGCCTTAACTTTGTGTCCTGTGGCTTTATTACAATTTGGTTTTCACCTTTGTCAAAGATCTGCAAATACTGGGATAGACAGGAGGGTGCAGCAGTACTAGAAAAATGAGACGAATGTTTCCATATGGAGCAGTTTGCGCACACCTCTCCAGCCTGACTCTGTTACTGGTGAATGTTCACAGGTGACACGTGAATCAGTCTTCCTGTTACCAACTGCCTGCTCGTTGCTGTTTCTTATTGAATTTCACCTTTTCAAAAAAAAATCACTTGCACTGAAAGCGGTAGCTTTCTTCTAGAATTTTACTACTACTCAATAAATTGGGCAGGGTTTTCATGAATAAACATTCGCCACAGACATGAGAGATTTGAAGATGTCTTCACTTATTTATATTTTTAAAAAATCTGAGCTAGCTGGAGAAGCTGTGCGGAATATAGTTGTGTGATTGAGATGTAAAGTTTGCATATTTAGCTCAAGTCAAATATATATCTGTAATCCTGACCTCCTCTTTGCTTCTTAAATGGAAAGCTGAAGAAGTCTAATGAAATTTTGTCACTTTAGCCATGAGACCCAATCTTCAGGATCTGGCGTATTTCATTTCTGACGAGCTGAGAAGAATCTATGGAAAGTTGTTTTTGAGAGAATCCAACCAGTTGTCAATGAAAGATTGAAGCCACTTCCTACAGCATTATTGTCTTAACACAATATTTTCTCACTGATGTCAAGTAATTTGTAGAACACCTTTTACATGCTTTATAGGGTATGCTGTAGGTCATACTTTTGTGACTGTTAGTTTTAAGAGCTGGTGCATTTCTCAGACCTGGTAAGTCAGCCCCAGTTGTCTCTATCAGCAAGATGCAGCTTTGCCCTTCTCAGACATCAGTTTTGTCTCTTTATGTTGATAGGAGAAGCTTACAAATTTATCCACAGGATAGAATCATAGGTTGGAATTACTTTACTTTAAAGATGTCCCATTAATTGGATGATTCTGTTCCTGTACATCTGAAGCTTTATTAACTTTGTCAAGTGTAACTTCTTCAAACTGGGCTAGATTACCAGACAGGCCAGCAGGATGTAGAGCTTTTACCAGAGGTTGTCGATCTTCACTCGCTTCTGAAATGACAAAAACTGGCTTTGTCAGGGTTTTTCGATCTGACTGATTTGCCAGACGCCTGGTTTTGGTTGAGTCAGTCTGAAGACTCTTGATGTTGTTTGACACAGAGCTGTCTGTGAAGAACCTGGGCCCTTGACGGGATGGCACAGGTTGTGGATCTGGTGGCTGGCATGCACGGTTGTCACAGTTAGTGGTTACGCTCAAGTTGTGCTGACGTGCGTTTGGCCGGAAGCCAAAGCAGGGACTTCCAAACCAGGCTCTTCTCAGGTTGGTGCCCGTGAAGAGCCCACGATGGCTCTGTGCAGATTGAGTGAGTGGATAAGAAGCAGCACTTCCTGAAGAATCATATATTTGCTCCAATTCTGTTTCCAACTGCATATCAGACACCACTTTCCGCTTGTTCTCAATGTGGTGGCCACTTGGTGAGTTGCCAGTGCCCTGTATAAATTTTAAAGCATGAAATAAAGGAAGGGCAACAGTGAAGCAAACTTTTGTTATCTTTATGATTTTATAAATAGATTTGTATTCCACATTAAGCTTGCACTGCACATAAACTGCTTGACCTTCGATGATGAACATTAGTCAGCCAAGTATCAGAAGGTACAAAACCTTCCATGGAGTAAGAAGGTTGTCCTGCTACTCTGCCCATTACTGACAGCCCCACAATCACCCCAGACACTGGAGGATAATATAGGCCGATACTCTAGTGTAGCATTGAGGCAGTGCTGCACTGTCAAAGCTGTTGCATTTGAAATGGAGTTTCCATCCACCATGATGACTATTAAAAGATCTGATGGAACAGAAGAGTTTGCCTGACCAATATTTATCTCTCAACCAACATCATTTAAAGTTATTTTAAATACATTATTTGCTAATTATTTCATTGCTCTGCATGAGAACTTGCTGTACACCAGTTGGTTCTTATTTCCTACTTCAGATCACAGCCTTCCAAAAGTATTCCTTTAGCTGTAAAGTACTTTGGGAATCTAGTTGCTACAGATAGAATCATACAATGGTTATAGTGCAGAAAGGCCATTCAGCCTGTCAAGTTTGTATTGCTTTCTGAAAAAGCCAATTAAAAAGTTATTTGGAGGATGTGGACATCACTAGCTAGGCCAACATTTATTGTCCATCTCTTCGCTCTTGAGAACTAAATGTTTGTTTCGATTGAAACATCTTTTTTTTTTCCTTTTCTGCAATCTCTTATCTAACCTTACTTGTTGACCTGGCCTTTGCTTCAATCACTAACTCTTGTAATGAATTCATAGCCTCACTGCTCTGTGTAAAGTGCATTATACATGCTCCTGCAGCCAAGAGGCTTAAGTCAAATTCCACCTTCTCCAGAGGGGTATAGTAGTTTCATAACATCTCTGAACGGGTTGTTTATCTCCAAATGCTGCTGTGTCAATTTAAGAACACTTATACTGCGTCCATACTAGTGGTGTTAGTCAACTGAGCTACAGCTACCATAAATGATTGCTGGCCCTTCACCCTACCTACAAGGCTTTAATTTCTCCAATTCTATTTGTAGTGAATTATATCCCATGTACATATTTTGCCAAATTTCAATATCTGGCAGCTTTCACAATTGAAACAGGCCTGACTTTAGATTTACTTACACAATTCTCCACCAGTTTTGTAAATGAACTTGTATTCATCCAGTCATGCCAATCTCTTGGTGGTTGCGGCAATGGCCCCAAAACATCATGGAAGTTCCGGATGCTCCAGGCGCATTGTTGGGATGGGGAGGTTCCATCACCATCGCCTTTTCTAACCAATGGTGGCTTCTCTCCTTCTGAAACCAGGAGATCTGGCGCTAGCCAATCACACGTGGGAGATGAACTCGTTGGGCTTCTCTTGGGGAGCTGTGGAAGAGAATCAGAGAGAGTCCAAGGTAAATTCCAACAAAACAAACAGCACTGTCTTGTGCATCTACGTTTATCGCTGAACTTGGTGTCTCCAACAACAATTTGCATCAAGATTGCATTTGCGTTAAATGTGGTAAAACATTCAAAGTATCTTAGAATTTTGACACCGTGCCACATTTAGAACTCTTTGTCCAGATTTTAGCAGTCAGCTGTGAAATGAGGCCGATCTTCAACTTTCTGGAAATGCAATGAGTTTTCACATTATTTGGGATTCCCATGTCAAGCTGCAGTAATATCAAACTGTCCAAGGAGTCAATCATAATAAAGAGCTCCCATAGGTAATCAACCAGGAAGTGAAAGCCCTAATAAACACATCATTTTTGAAAGATCAGGATGAAGATGTACAATTATGATAGAAATTAAATATACATAAACTTTTACTATTTTTTAAAAAAATCCCAGTAACTGATTTAATAGACATTTAGCAATATTCATAATTAGTAGACTTTTTTCAGGATCAGACAGACTGTTCAGCAGTGGTTAATATTCTTTGTGCAAGGCATAACATTTTATGGGGCTTCCAACAGAAATGAGAGCAAAAAAGGGGACGAGGATGAGATGGAAATGTTGATGCTAATTTCCCCCCTCTTCCCCCCCCCCCCCAAACACAGTGGATGGAGGGGTGCCTGGAACGTGCTGCCAGGGCAGGTGGTAGAAGCAGATACAATAGCAATGTTTGAGGCATTTAGAGAGAGACACTAACAGGCATGGAATAGAAGGATACAGACCATGTGTAGGCACATGGGCTTAGTTTAGAATGACATCATGGTCAGCACAGACATGACGGCTGAAGTGCCTGCTCCTGGGCTGTACTGTTCTATGCACCCATGTTCTTACCAAATCTTTTGATTTTGCCAATTGCTGGTTTTGGGAGAGGGCCACAGAATCACCAGTAACAGAGCACTGAGTGACCGGTATATTCCAAAATTACTTTGTTAGAAAAAAGGTAGCGTGGCAATGAGGTTCAGGAGGGAATTAAAGTGTTTAGGACCTCAGCAAGATGAATTCACAACCACTGATGGTGGTAATGATTAAAATCAGGAAGCAGGAACTACAGGAGTGCAAGAGATTTTGAATCTTTAGAAGTATGGACCATTACAGAGACAGGCAAATTTAACCAAAGCCAACACAAGGATTTAATTTTCTTAAAACACAGCAAGTGATTACAATTGGGAATGCAGTTCTCAGAAAATAGTGGATCCACATTCAGCTGTGGCTTTCAAAAAAGAACTGGATAAGTGCCACCCAAAAACATTGCCATAAGTAATTGGCAGAGTAGGAGAACAAACTAAATGACTCCTACAGACAGCAAGCACAGGCCTGATGGGCCAAATGGGCTCCTTATGCACTGCAATCATTGTGATTTCTTTTTCCTCAACACTCCCTATTCTTTTTGGGAAGTCTTCATATCCATCTCAGCAAGTCTCTGGAGCAGTTGACATTGCCCAGCTCAGCAGATTGCAAGTTTCAGCAGAGGTCCACCAGCATTATCCCATCCCTGGGAATCTCCTAGCTTTGATAGGGATTCAGGCTGGCAGCTATGTCCCAAGGAGTCAGAGCTTATGGGTTCAGCGTTATTGCTCAGACGAGTGACTATAGGAGTTGAAATGTCATGTTGAGGTTGTACAGGATGTTGTTGAGGCCTCTACTGGGTGTACTGTGTGCAGTTCTGGTTGCCCTGTTACAGTAAGGATATTTAAGGACATTGGTTAGGCCATTTTTGGAATAGTGCATTCCCTGCTGTAGAGAAGATGTTGTTAAACTTGAAAGGGTTCAGAAAAGATTTACAAGGATGTTGCCAGGATTGGAGGGTTTGAGCATAGGGAGAAGCTGAATAGGCTGGGGCTATTTTCCCTGGAGTGTCAGAGGCCGAGGGGTGACCTTATTGAGGTTTATAAAATCATGAGGGGCATGGATAGGGTGAATAGTCAAGGTCTTTTCCCCAGGGTAGGGGTGTCCAAAACTAGAGGGCATAGGTTTCAGGTGGGAGGGGAGAGATTTAAAAGGGACCTAAATGGGAATGTTTTTGTTTACACACAGAGTGGTGCGCGTATGGAATGGGCTACCAGAGGAAGTGGTGGAGATGGGTACAATTACAACATTTAAAAAGGCATTTGGATGGGTATAATGGAGCGTAGTGGCAACCAGTGGCCAGTCCACATGGAGGCACCCTGCACATGCTGGTCTGCTGTGGAGAGCCCCTGGAGGGAGACTAAGATGTTTGTCTTTTTCACTTTGTTTCTTGTTTTTGTGACCTATGTTTATACTGTGTATAGCTGTTCTGTAACATTTTGTTTTCTTTATTTCCCTCTACTGTAACTAAGGATTGTACTTGGGTACCCTGTACCTAACAAGGTGCCATTGTTACACTGTAACTAATTTGTAACTGTTGAAGTTGTACCTGGGTATCTTTGCACCTAAGATGGTGCTGTAAGTGGCAACCTATAAACCTTTCACTGTTCTCATTTGAGTATGTGACAATGAAGCTAATTCAATTCAATTCCGTTCAATATTCAATTGAGATAGTTTACACAAGATTTAACAGGATGTGGCTGAGAATGGACGGTTTAAATTATAAAAATAGGCTGGACAGGGTGGGATGTTTTTCCACTGGAGTGTAGGAGGTTGAGGGGTGACCTTACAGAGATTTAAACATAAATAGCAAGGGTCTTTTCCCTGAGCTCAAAACAAGGGGGCATAGTTTTAAGGTGAGAGGAGAAAGTTTTTAAAAGGACATGAGGGGCAACCGTTTTACACAGAGTGGTTAGTGCGTGTAATGAACTGCCAGAGGCGGTGATGGATGTAGGTACAGTTAAAACATTTAAAAAGACATTTGGAAAGGTACATGAATAGGAAAGGTTTAGAAGGATATGGGCCAGGAGCAGGCAAATGGGACCAGTTTAGTTTTGAATACCTGGTCAGCATGGACTTATTGGACTGAAGGATCTCTGTTTCCATGCTGTATGACTCTATGACTGTATAAATCCCACTCCAGTGACTTCCAGGCTGACATTACAATAATCAGGATGTGCAAAGTGCATTTTTTTTTGGTTCAGATATTAAACCAAGGTTCTACAAGCTCTTTTAAGGCAATTTCAGGTAAATTGGAAGAGCAGGTCAGTACCCTTATAATTCATACTTCACTGTTTCCAAAGTGCGTTGGGATCAAAATATCTACTCACCAAGGACTGCAGCGGTTTAAAAGGTGGGTCACCACCACCTCCTTCAGGGCAGTTAGAGATGGGCAATAAATGCTGGCTCAACCAGTGATGCCCACACACCATGAATTAATATTTTAAAAAAGACATTGACCTTCTATCTCAGAGGGTGCAGGTTACAATGGAATTTCAAACTCAGCTATTTTCAAATGGGACACCATCACGATTTTGTTTGGAAACTAAGAATCCTTTGCAGCTCACCAAATCAGCTGGAGAAAGATTGCAAACAGACAGTGCTGCTTTAAGCAGCCTCTAATACTGCTGTTTAGATTATATGAGGCTGAGTCATTCTTTCCTATTAGTCAGATTTCCTCATGAAAGTTTGTTCTGAATTTCAGTTCTAAATAGGTAATTGTCCAGATTGTGTGTTTCTGGCTAACCTGGGTGAAATCAAGCTGCCTTGACATTCCGTTAGCCTGCTCAAAGGGGAGAGTTCACTGAAAGGGATTTTCTGGTTGGAAAGATCGCTGACTCCTAAGCTGATTGATTGGAGAAGGAAGGGTGTAAATACATTTAGAAATATTTGGAAATGAGACTAAGCATCTGAAAAACTAAAATTTGGAAATAAACCCAAACAACATGCAGCATGAGGCAGCATGGTAGCTCAGTGGTTAGCACTGCTGCCTCATAATGCCAGAGACACAGGTTCGATTCCAACCTCAGGCGACAGTGTGGAGTTTGTACATTCTCCCTGTGTCTGTGTGGCTTTCCTCCCACCGTCCAAAGATGTGTAGGTTGGGTGGGTTGGCCATGGGAAATTGCCCATGATGTACAGGTTAGGAGGATTAGCCATGGGAAATGCAGGGTTATAGGGTAGGGGGTGGGGGTTGGTATGATGCTCTTCAGAGGGTCAATGTGAACTCAACAGGCTGAATGGCCTGCTCCAATACTGTAGGGATTCTATGTAGTGTATAATAGTATCTAATATATAATTAATAGATGTAGATGATTGTATGGGGCTTTATTTCAAAGGCCACAAAAAATCTTGAATTAATGATTAAATCCTGTATTTTTCTTCATAATGCTTCTTTTTTTAAAATTTAAAACAGAAAATCTGAAACTTGGGCCCAGGATATTACACGGCAGCAGTGACCCTATCCATGAGCTAGAAAGTCAGGGGTAATCCTGCTGCAGCCATGTTTGGGAGCCTCAGGCAGATTGAAAGTCTGGCAAATAACTGCCTGGATGTCAGACTCCCTTCTCTTTAGGATTCTCTAATCAACCTGTTCTGGGATGTTACTAATCTTGTTTTTCTCTTTTAAGATACTCGTTAAAACCCAGCTCGTGACCAAGTTGTTGATCATCTTACTTCAATTTCTCCTTAAGTGTCAAATTTTGTGCAATAACTTGCCTGTGAAGTGAGTTGGAATGTTTTGCTATGTTAAAAGCTCTATATAAATGCATGTTTTTCTTAATGTAATCACTGTAATGTGACATTTGGGCAGGAAATTCTGATCCCAAACAGAAACTCACTGTTAATCTTTGTTTTCCTTCCAGAAAATGAGATAATCTCATCAGTTTATTCGTCTAGACAATTATTACAAACCAAAACATTCACCAGCTGTCATGCCAACATCAGAACCTTGCACTTTTGTATGAACTAGAGCTGGCACTGTTTAGGGCAAAGACCTACATTTGTTCTGACTGTAACAAATGTTCTTTTAAAAAAAAAACAGAATATCTATTCTACATTATTTTAAAGAAATCCAGTTTCCATTATTTAGTGTCTATATATTTTAAAGTACAAAAAAACTATAAAAATCTGTAATATCTGTCATTGAGGAGGCATAGAGTTTTCTGTTAAATTTCACAGAACCTTGGAATTGCTATGGTGCAGAAGGAGACCATTCAGCCCATTATGCCTGCACTGACTCTCTGAGCATGGACATTTATTGAATTTAGGTAAAGGTTGAAAATCCATGGTACAGTGAACCATGTTGGCAAAATGAGGAAAGGATGTTCAAAATGGGTGTGCTCCTGAAACAGTGATACTGGATTAATAACCCAGTGCAGATTGGGAGTTTGAGCCCCACTCCAGGATTTGAACACAAAGCATGATGTAAAGACAAGGCCCTATCTGTTCTCTCCCAGGGCAGCAGTTTTTAAATCATCCATCCTTATTCTGGACTGATCCTTCCACTTTGATTTATCCTTTACCCCATTCCCAAAATATGTTATAACATGGTTTAAATTTTCATACTGAACCTTTCACAATCAATTTTGAAAAATGAACGAAATTTTGAAAGGCAATGCTAGGAATTTGGGTGGTGAATGCAGACTCAGCGGGAGCATTTGAAAAGGGAATCAAATCAATCCTGAAGGGTTAAAATTGAAAGGGATCTGACGAAAATTGAGGGGCAATTGGAAATAACTGGATTGCTCTTTAGTTGAGCTGGAATAGACTCAATAGGCAGCACTGCACTGTTCTGCTATTCTACAAAATACTCGAGAAGAGTCAAGAACTCAAGAATCTAGACATTAAAGAGCTGTTATTATTATTTAAGGGATGGAAGTCTGCCCTCCTTAGGTGGTCTGGGTCAGTACATGACTATGGTTCCCGATGTGGCCTCCTCTACTTCAGGGAGACCAAGCGGAGACTCGGAGACCACTTTGTGGAGCACCTACGCTCGGTTTGTGACAAACGACAACACCTCCCAGTTGCGAACCGCTTCGACTGCCCCTCCTACTTCCTGGACAACATGACCATCCTGGGCCTCCTCCAGTGTCCCAACGATGCCACCCGGAAACTGGAGGAACAGCACCTCATTCCGCCTTGGAAGCCTATAACCCAATGGTCTCAATGTGGACTTTACTAGCTTCAAAATCTCCCCACCCCTGACCTCATTCCAAGACCAGCACCCCCCTCATCCCCACCTCCTTGACCTATCCGACTTCTCTCCTATCTATCTGCTTCACCATCCATCTTCTATCACCGCCCCCTACTCTCTATTTATTCCAGAGTCCCTTTCCCCTCCCCCATTTCTGAAGAAGGGTCCAGACACGAAACGTCAGCTTTCCTGCTCCTCTGATGCTGCCTGGCCTGCTGTGTTCCTCCAGCTCCACACCTTGTTATCTCTGACTCCAGCATTGGCAGTTCCTACTATCTACGGTTCCAATCTGGTTTGGTTGATTCTTTAAATGTCCAAGCAAGTCACTCACTCATAACATCACCATCTCAAGATGGCCAATTTATCAGCTTTACCATAGACTCCCACACCCTGAACTTAAATAATAGATGAGAGATGATAAATAAATACTGATAGTGCCACATTTGTGTTTTAAAAACCTTCATAGACTTTAGGAAGAAAAGGCAACTGGGAGGTTTGTGTTGAGGGTGGTGATGATGAAGCTAATCTGTTCTGAAGTTAGCATTCTAGTGATTAATTAATAGTGAGGAATTTCAGTACTACAAGGACATTGTGTAATTGGCACCTTTTCAGTCCAGGAGGAACAAGTTAAAGAACCTGAGACCCAACAAACTGCAGCAACTCACCAAGGCTCCTTTAATTGCTACTTCCAAATCTGTAACCTCTACCATCAAGTAGGACAAGAGCAGCTGAAACGTGGGAACAGCCCCTGCAAGATTGTCTCCAAACCACACACCATTCCAACTTGGCATTAATGTCTCTGTTCATCAGCGTTATAGAGTCAGAGTCATACAGCACCGAAACAGACCCTTCAGCTCAACTCATCTGCACCAACCAGACATCCCAATCTGACCTCATTCCATTTGACTGGGTCAAATCTCTAAAACTCTCTCATAACAGTACTGTGGGGCATACCTGTACCCATAAGACATAGGAGCAGAAATTAGACCATTCGGCCCATCAAGTCTGCTCTGCCATTCAATCATGGCTGATAAGTTCCTCATCCCCATTCTCCCGCTTTCTCCCCATAACCCCTGATCCCCTTGATAATCAAGAACCTATCTATCTCCGTCTTAAATATACTCAATGACCTGGCCTCCACAGCCTTCTGTGGCAGTAAATTCCATAGATTCACCATTCTCTGGCTGAAGAAGTTTCTCCTTATCTCTGTTCTAAAAGGTCTTCCCTTTACTCTAAGGCTGTGCCCTCGGGTCCTACTCTCTCCTACCAATGGAAACATCTTCCCAACATCCACTCTGTTCAGGCCATTCAGTATTCTGTAAGTTTCAATTAGATCCCCCCTCATCCTTCTAAACTCCAACGACTATAGTTCCAGAGTCCTCAAACGTTCCTCATATGTTAAGCTTTCCATTCCTGGGACCATTCTCGTGAACCTCCTCTGAATCCACTCCAGGGCCAGTATGTCCTTTCTGAGATATGGGGCCCAAAACTGCATACAATACTCCAAATGTGGCCTGACCAGAGCCTTATAAAGCCTCAGGAGTACAGCCCTGCTTTTATATTCAAATCCTCTCAAAATAAATGCCAACATTGCATTTGCCTTCCTGATTACTGACTCAACCTGCAAGTTTACCTTGAGAGAATCCTGGACTAGAACTCCCAAGCCTCTTTGCACTTCAGACTTCTGAATTTTCTCCCCATTTAGAAAATAGTCCATGCTTTTATTCTTCTTACCAAAGTGCATGACCGCATACTTTCCCACATTGTACTCCATCTGCCACTGCTTTGCCCACTCTCCTAACCTGTCCAAATCCTTCTGCAGCCTCCCCACCTCCTCAATACTACTTGTCTCTCCACCTATCTTTGTGTCGTCTGCAAACTTAGCCAGAATGCCCATAGTTCCTTCATCTAGATCATTAATGTATAAAGTGAAAAGTTGTGGTCCCAACACTGACCCTTGTGGAACACTACTTGTCATTGGCTGCCATTCTGAGAAAGACCCTTTTAACCCTACTATCTGCTTTCTGCCAGACAACCAATCTTCTATCCATGCTAGCACCTTGCCTCTAACACCATGGGCCCTTAATCTTATTCAGCAGCCTCCTGTGCGGCACCTTGTCAAAGGCCTTCTTGAAGTCCAGGTAGACAAAACTCATTGACTCCCCTTGGTCTACCCTGCTCGTTACTTCCTCAAAGAATTCTAGCAGATTTGTCAGGCATGACCTCCCCTTGATGAAACCATGCTGACTTTGCCCTATTTTACCATACACTTCCAAGTATTCAGAAATCTCATCATTTACAATGGATCCAAAATCTTATCCACGACCGAGGTTAGGCTAATCCGCCTGTAATTTTCTGGCTTTTGCCTTACTCCCTTTTTAAACTGGGGTGTCATGTTAGCAATTTTCCAGTCCTCTGGGACCCTCTCTGGCTCTAGTGATTCCTGAAAGATCACCACTAACGCTTCCACTATCTCTTCAGCTATCTCCTTTAGAAATCTAGGGTGTAGTCCATCTGGTTCAGGTGATTTATCCACCTTCAGGCCAATCAGTTTTACTAGCACTTTTTTCTTGGTGATGGCCACCATACTCAGCTGTGCCCCCTAAATCTCGAATTTTTGGGAGAGTACTCATGTCTTCTACCATGAAGACTGACGAGAAGTAATTATTCAGTTCCTCAGCCATTTCCTTGTTCCCCACCACTATCTCTCCAGTGGTCCAATGTCCACTTTTGCCTCTCTTTTGTCCTTTATATATCTAAAGAAACTCTTACAGTCTTCATTTATATTACTGGCTAGCTTACCCTCATATTTAATCTTCTCCCTCCTTATTTCTTTTTTTGTTGCCCTCTGTTGGTCTTTGTAAGCTGCCCAGTCCTCTGGTTTCCCACTGCCTTTCGCCGCATTAATATGCTTCCTCTTTTGCTTTTATGCTATCCCTGACTTCCTTAGTCAGCCATGGTTGCCTCATCCTCCCTGTACCATGCTTCTTTTTCCTAGGGATGAATTTTTGCTGCATTTCCAGAATTACTCCCAGAAACTCCAAAGTCTGCAGTGCTTCAAGAAGACAGCTCACCACCGTCTTCCAAAAGGGCAATTAGGAACAGGCAAGAACTGCTGGCCATACCAATGATGTTCAACATCCCCAAAACGTAGATAAAACCATACCCCAAGAAGAGTGGTTTGCAAACAAGGACAGTGTTAAGTTCAATAATTCACAAGCTGACAATTCAATTTCTATCCTCCATCCAACATCTCTAAAGTACCTTTGTTTTAAAGCTGGAGAAATGTAAATTGCCCAGGCTCAGACCAGTTGAAATCACAAAGATCTCATCACTCCCAGTCTCTGTCACTGCTGACTCACTGGAGGCCATTTCCATATCAGTGCGGTTTGAATTACCTGCAACAAGTCAGACTGGGAATTAAAGAGAACTCTAACAAGCCAGAATCGCTTCATTAACAGAGCATTTCTACTAGACCTGAGCTTTAACACAATTCTTTAAACTCTTAAAATAAATTGAAGTTCAGTTTGGTATTATTTAAGAAGAAAAATCTGTACGTCTCAGTCTGCTAAAAAGTCTCAAGGCTGTGGTTTCAAATTTAATAATAAGCAAACAATTACAAATCATTAGTGAGTTTCATAGAAGCCATTTCCACATTTCTTCTCAAAAGTTTAGCATTTCCATTAGAAATATTATTTATTCCTGAATTCACAGTCAGATAAACTTGAATTCCTTTTGTAAACGTGGAAATTTCTGAATGTTGAGAATGTTGAGAAAGTGTGGAGAGGAGTTAAACAAACATGGAGAATGCCTTCCGCATTCAATGGGAAAAAGAATATTTTATGTAAGTGGCGGTAACATTAATTTGGGCTCATGGTTCAGCTGCCACTATTGAGAAAAGGAACTCCCTTGCTTTCCCTTGGACTCTAACCAGATCTCAAGTACTTTTGAAAAAATCTCCACACATACTAACCCATTCCCCCGAGAGTGCTGCTGTGATTGTTGTTCTCATTTTCTAACGAGACCTCCTGGTTTGGCCTGTTGGCCACAAGCTGCATTTCTCCGATATCAACTGCAGAATTCTGGATCCCGTTCTATAAAAAAGAAAAAAACTATAACTCGGATTTGGATCAACATTCCTCTGCAGCTCTGGAATCCTAATATAGAAGGGCGCTGATGCAATGCAGTAACCCAACTCTCTTTAGACAACAAGGTGCAGGGCTGGATGAACACAGCAGGCCAAGCAGCATCATAGGAGCAGAAAGGCTGATGTTTCGGGCCTAGATTTCTGATGAAGGGTCTAGGCCCAAAACGTCAGCTTTTCTGCTCCTATGATGCTGCTTGGCCTGCTGTGTTCATCCAGCTCTGCACCTTGTTATCTCAGATTCTCCAGCATCTGCAGTTCCTACTATCTCTTTAGACAGCAGCTTCCAAATCCATGACCACTACAGTCTAGCAGGACAAGGGCAGCGGATACATGGGAACACTAACACCTGCAAGTTCCCCTCTGAGCCGCACAGCATCCGGACTTGGAAATGTCGCCATTGCTTCAGTGTATCTGGGTCAAAAATCATGGAATTCCCTCCCTAAGGCATTAGGCATCTACCTTAGCATATGGACTGCTGTGGTTCAAGAGGCAACTGATCTCCTCAAGGGCAACTAGGGGCGGGCAGAAAATGCTGAACTAGCCAACATAGTCATGAATTCAGAATATGTACGAGAAACATAGCAAGGCCTGTTTTAGTGATTCAATAGAGTTTCAGTAGAAAGTCAATGGTTTCTTTGTTCTTTCCCTTTCAGAATGGACCAGTTTCCAAAACAGAGGGTGACATGCTCCCTTTTTGAATGGATTATGACCATTGTTCACAATATAGACACTGGGTCTTACAGTCAAAAACTGGACAAGGAAGCCAGCTGGGACTGGCAGGTCAGACACACATTTCCAGACTTGCTGATGCTTTTAACTGGTCCCTTTTCAACTGGGATCTTAATCATCTGACCCTCTGGTCAGGTGGAAAAGAAAAGGACTTGTTACTTTTTAAACAGAGATATCCCAAAAGCTTACAACTAAAGGAGTACTGTTAAGTGTTGTCTCTGTTGCAATTTAGGAAAATGGAGCAACTAATTTACACAGAGCAAGCCCCCACAAACAGCAATGTGATCATGGGTAGACAGCCTGTTTTTTGAGATTTTGATTGAGGGATAAATGTTGGCCTGGACAGTGAGGGTGCCTCTGTTGTTCTCTTTCAATGTAGTGCCATAGAATTGTTCACACCTCCCTGGCTGCCTGAGGGGGCAGACAGACCGTTGGTCTATCATCACATCCAAAACTGCAACACCCCCTCAGTACTGCAGCTGTGTCAGCCTCAAATGTCTGATCTGGGATCTGAACCCATGACCTTGCTATTCCATCTAATGAGTCAAGGTGGAGACTGAGGGAGTGGAAGAAGTGGTTGGGGCCTGTGAGGAAAAGGGCAGCGACAACACTGACTGCAGTCCTCCAGAGTTATCGGTGAAGGAAAAAAAGGAGGGGGAGAGAGAGAGAAGGGGCAGAGAAGTAGGGGGGTGGGTGAGTGTGAGAGAGAGAGAGAAGGGGCAGAGAAGTAGAGGGGGGGTGGGTGAGTGTGTGTGTGTGTGAGAGAGAGAGAGAGAGAGAGGGAGAGAGAAGAAAACAGCAGAGGAGTGGTCATTTCCATCTCCTGTGTATAAAGGTAATGGAGATCCAGATTGAGGCCTTGAAATTAAAATCAGAATCTCCTAGAAATGACAGCAAGGAAATCTGGAGAGAAAAATAAACTTGCCATGAAAGAAGATGTTGGTATTTGATTGTTGACATATCATTCAAACATTAGCCACAAAAATACTGGTGCTGGAAAAAAATGGCCATTGACTGGAGATGGGAGATATGATGATGAGATCTCAAAAGAATATGTCCAAGCCCACCAGCAGTAAGACCAGCTCCATGCCCAGGCTGATTGTGCCAGTGGAGATGTGATGCAATGTTTTGGTGGTGGTGGTATCTTGGAGCAAGAGGTACGAGGTCAAAGTGTCAAATGATTAAAAAAGCAGACAGCGAAAGGATTATTCTACTGTACATTTTCCAAAGTTTGCCCTCCAGACCATTAAATTCTTGAGAATTCAGGTTATCTGTTCTGTATAGGTACAGCAAGCTTTCCTGAAGTTCTCATCAGTAGCAGGTGTTGAATAACAAATAGCATCAGACTTTATTCAATAAACATGGCACTACAAAAGCACAGCAGGTCAGACAGCATCCAGGGAGCAGGGAAGTCAATGTTTCAGGCCGAAACCCTTCATCAAGACAAAGGGTTTAAGTCCGAAACCTTGACTTTCCTGCTCCTCGGATGCTGTCTGACCTGCTGTGCTTTTCCAGCCCCACATTTATTGACTCTAGCTTCCAGCAGCTGCAGTCTCCAAGCCTGACTATATTGATTATTGGTGAAACACTCCACTGTCAGCCTAAACACAGAAAATAATCCTGGTACTAGGACCTATTGCTAATGTGCCGAGCAGCATGGTCTGTATCCCTTCTGCTTCCCTAACTTTGCCTATCACACTGCCAGGATACTGCAGGCTCTGCTGCTTTTGCCGATTTTCTTCTGCAACAATCATTTACACCTCTTCCAGATTCATTCTCCGTGTCGTATTGTCAAATTTCCACCTCCTTTTGTACAAATGCAAAAGCAGCAAAGAGTCGAATTCTGAAATCAGAGCCGGAAGCACTGGAAATGCTCAGGCAGCATCTGTGCAGAGATGGAAACAGTTAATGCTTCACATGAGACCTTTCTTTAGAATCCTTCACCTTTTGCTTTGGATGTTCATGTGTTTTTAAATCTCGCTGCCCCGCCTCCTCTACCCCAACATCACAGAACTTCCTTTTTGTGCTTTTCTCCATTCCCCCTCTCCCTGCCTCTGCAACTTTCTCAATCAAATCTGCCTCCATCTCATTACCAAGTGCATTTCAGAGGGTAGGTGATGGCCTAGTGGTATTATTGATAGACTATTAATCCAGAGCCCCAGGTAATATTCTGGGGACCTGAATTCAAATCCTGCCATGACACTTGGCAGAATTTAAATTCAGTAATAATCTGGAATTAAGAGTTTAATGATGACCATTAATCCATTGCCAATTATCAGGTTAAAAAACCCATCAGGTTTACTAATGCCCTTTAGGGAAGGAAACTGCCATCCTTACCTGATCTGGCCTACATGTGACTCCAGATCCACAGCGATGTGGTTGACTCTGAACTGCCCTCTGGGCAATAAATGCTGGTCCAGCCAGTGATGCCCACATCCCGTGAATGAATAAAGAAAAAGACCCAAACTACAAATGTGAAAAAAAACATTTTTGCTCACATCACATTTGCTTCTTCTGCAAGTTACTTTAAAACCTGTGCGGTCTTGTTCGTGATCCTTTTCTAAGTGGGAACAGTTTCTCCTGGTTTATTCTGTCCCATTAGTCTTGCAAACCTTTTAAAAAATTATCTTTTTAGCTTTCTCTTCTGCAAGGAAAATAGATCCAACTTTTCCAAAGTATCTTCATAACGGAAGTTTCACTTCTTTGGAACCACCAAACTGCTTCTGCAATATCCCCAAGGTGTTCACATCCTTCCTGACATGTAGTACCCAGAACTGCACTTAATACTCCAGCTGAAAACTAAGTGTTGTATACAAGTTCAGTATAGCCTCCTTGCTCTTGTGCTCTATATCTACATTAATAAAGCCTCCATCTTCACAGGTGCTAGTTGTCCAGTTCAGCATTTCCAGTCCGTTCTGGTCTGCTATCAAATTTCCACTGTCTGGTCCAGCATCCATGACATTTTGCTTTAGAATCAGAGAATAAAACATCATCTCAAGGCTGCCATTGTCAGGCTCATTGCTGATGGCTTGTGGTTGTGGTAGCTCACTGCCAACAATCCTTCTAAATTGAGGCTAAGGGTCTGTCTAATTTTCGGTCGAAGAGGATAAACCACTGAAGAGTCTTAACCAGACGTACTTGTCTTACAAACAAAAATGTAATTTATGGCATTATAGCAATAGAAAAAACAAACAACATTAATTAGTTAGGCATAATTATAGGGCGGCAGTAGTTAGCACTGCTGCCTTACAGTGCCAGGGACCCGGGTTCAATTCCAGCCTTGGGGCAACTGTCTGTGTGGAGTTTGCACATTCTCCCCGTGTCTGCGTGGGTTTGCTCCGGTTTCCTCCCACAGTCCAAAGATGTGCAGGTTAGGTGGATTGGCTGTGCTAAATTGCCCATAGTGTTCAGGGAGGTGTAGATTAGGTGGGTTATAGGGGGATGGGTCTGGGTGGGATGCTCCGATGTTCGGTTTGGACTTGTTGGGCCGAAGGGCCTGTTTCCACACTGTAGGGATTCTATGATTCTATGATAATTATAATATCAGCAGCACTGGAAGACACATCTGTAACCATCAAGACCCAGTGCAAGAATACCCAACTCTCCATCTAAAGATGTTCTATCGCCAGATTGGTTGGAGCAATTTCAACAGTAACACTTCCCAAATGATGACCTCATGCCACAGCCATTCAGCACATTGAGTCTGCACCATCATTTTCATAAAACATTCCATCGATTACACTCCCGAATCTTTACCCCGAACCAAGCAATATTTTCTCCTTTAAGTATTTATCCAATTCCTTTCTGAAGGCTACAATTAGATCTGCATCCACCACCACATTATCACACAGCATATTCCAAATCCTAAACACTTGTCGCGAGAACAGTCTTCCCCTCATATCACTGATAGAACAGAAATAAACAAACATTAATTTCTTTTTAAAAAAAGACTATTTATAAAATCAGACCAACATCTTAAATTAGATTTACCTCATGCCTTCTTGAGCAATGGGAATGACTTCCTTTACAATGAGCCTTTTTCCTGAATAAAAAAATATAACACTTTGGTTTAGACTTATATCTGAAATCTCAGATCTTTGAAAAAAAAACAGAATTATGAATTATGTTTGCAACATAGAACCTGCCAAAGAGCTTCACACCATCAAGGTTGGGGAACATATTGCTAAATATATTTCCTCAGTCAGAGCAGCTACCCCCACATTAAAAAAAGGCACAGGTTCTTGCAATGACCACGTGTCATCATCACTATGACAACCACACACTCGAGAAGACTCTCCATCCAGTTTACCAAGTCTTTCATTCAAAAAACTGGTAAGCGAACAAATGACAGACGCATAGAAAACCTGGAGTTCTTTCAGGAAAATTTGGCTTTCACCAAACAAGCAGATGGCTGCTCAACACCATTGGAGCAGCACACATTTTCCATGTGCCTGTTACGGTTACAAACAGTTATTAGAGCACATGGTAATGGTGCCAACTGGTTACAACTGTTCAGAACCCAGGATTAGAAATGGAGAAAGTTTAAAGTACAGGTGGAGTCAATTCGGTTCATTCTGCCTGTTGATTTTTTTTTCATAAGCCCATAATAATGGAGGAACACAGTACAAAGTCTGGACGAAGCTGCTAACCTAACAGTGACCATGCAGGCAGTGCTGATCATCTTAAACACCCATCTGGTTCACTAGTGATCTTTAGGGAAAGAAATTTTTTTTATAGAATTCCTACAGTGTGGAAACAGGCCCTTCAGCCCAACAAGTCCACACTGACCCATCCCCCTATAACCCACCTAATCTACACATGCCTGAACACTGTGGGGCAATTTAGTATGGCCAATCCACCTAGCCTGCACATCTTTGGACTGTGGGAGGAAACCGGAGCACACGGAGGAAACCCACGCAAACACGGGGAGAATGTGCAAACTCCACACAGTGACGAGAGGCCGGAATTGAACCCAGGTCCCTGGTGTTGTGAGGCATCAGTGCTAACCACTGAGCCACCATGCCGCCCAAAAGTGTGTCAGAAGTGGGAAATCTGCCATCGTTACCTGGTCTGGGCTACAGAGACCAAAAGTAGTGTGGTTGACTGTTAACTGCCCCATGGACAAAAGGAATGGGCAAAAATGCTGGGCTGGCCCAGTGACGTCCATACCCCAAGACAATTTTTTCAAAAAAATGCAGGTAAATCCCAGTTATGAGCGGAAAGTGTTAGGACCCAGCTTTGTTCATAGAACATGTTACATCACGGTGACTCAGAGTTCCCAGGGCTGCAGACCCTTCCACAGAGAATCCTCAAGTTTACCTGGCCAGTGGTGAGGCAGCTTAGTGCCCAGATAGCAGGGGGGCAGCGATGGGGAAGCAGATTTTAAAAATGCTACTGAGGGTTTAGGCCCTGTGCATGGATAAATCTCACTGATTCTATCCTCTGTGATCAGCCCAAGGATGACCTCTTCACTCCCACCTTTACTCTGCCTCAGGCAAACTTATTGAAACATACTAATTTCTTAGTGAATTTGACAGGGTAGATGCAGTAAAGTTGCTTCCCCTTGTGAGAAAATCTAGGACCAGAAGGCACCATCTCAATGAGGGACTGCACATTTAAGACAGGGCTGTTGAGGCTGGGTCATTAAAATATATTCAAGGCTGAGATGGACTGATTTTTAATTGGTAAGGGAATTGAGGGTTATGGGAATAAGGCAGAAAAGTCAAGTCGAGGATTATCAGATCAGTCATGAACTCATCCAATGGTGGACCAAATTTGATGGGCCAAATGGTTTACTTCTGCTCCTATGTCTTATGGCTTTATGAATGGCGGAACAGGCTCACAAGAACAGAACTGCCTCACATTATTGTCCCACCACTTTCTCTGTGCAAATGGTGCACTGGACATTGCTCAGACTGCGGGGAAGTTTGCTTGGGTGACAACAGTGAACTGTAGTCCGGCAGATTTTCCCATCACTGAACAGAGAGCCCTGTGGCACACCCACAGATTGGGAATATAAGAAAACCTCTTTCGGGAATAGTAGTTGCGTGAACTATCTGCCCATCAACCCACAGCCATTTGTGGTCAGTTTTCCATACATTCCCAAAAGTGTTGAATTTTGCTGGAAATTAGTGATTCCATTTCCTCTCCTTCTAATTCTTTGCCTAACTAGTTCTTATTGGTAGGAGAGTGGACCGAGAGCATGTTGGTGGCGTTTTGGATCATGGAGCTTGCAGGTCTGACCTTGTCCTTATCCAACATTTGTCCACTTACAGAT